CCACACGCACACACAATGGCCTGTGCTCTTCAGAGAGTTAGAAAAAAGTACCTCTGACTTTTTCCATGGTGGTAAGAGGCCAAAATGAGTCGGTTCTTCTTCCATTTTCCCCCTCTATTGCTTTTATCTATTTGTCTTTCTTTTTTGTTGTACTCAATTATAATTGTTGATTGATTTTTTTTTAGGATGAGCTCTTGCAAGCTGTGCAAGTCCAGAAAGAGGCAGCAGCTGCAGTTGACATTCAGAGGTAACTTGGTTGTGCTTGGGATGGGAATATTCTAGTAAATGTGTCATGACGCGGTGAAATCAGGCGCTTGTCAATTTTTGGGCGTGTGGAGTTATTGGTATCATCTGAAAGCTTATTCATTTGCCTTGCTTTCAATGAAAAAAATATCCATGTAGCTTAAATAGAATTCGAGATATTTGCGATTGAAGAAGGTTGGGTAGCCTGGTTTCAGTGGTTCAATTAATGAGAAAATAGCCACCAAAGTTTGGTAACTACAATAGCTTAAAGAGTCCTTGAAAACTGAAAATTACATATTTTGTGCCTTCATACAAGGTTTTCCAGTAAAATTCACATGGATGCCTTTTCAAATGAACGTAAATGCTGTTTGGCCTAAAAACAAATTTTCTATAAAAATTGCCAAACTGATGGAAAAATGCCCTTTTCTTCGATTTCATTATTTTGACGAGCGCCTGATTTCACCACAAACAAAGAACAACCTAGGCTTCAATTTTGTGACAATTACTGCTAAAGAAGATTTCCAACTGAATAAACCTTCTGCAGTAACAGTGATAATGATGATAATATTATACTGCCTTTATGTAGCACATATTCATGATAAAAAATAGGCTCAATGCACATGCTGTTTCGTGAGATGTGCTGACAAAATGAGTTACTTCTCACAATCCGTTTATGGAGATATCTACCAAAAATTGACACAGGGGTCAAATTTGGAGATTTTCAACTCATAGCACTACCATTTTCTTCAAGCTTAACATGGCTTCTATCTTTCTAAGCTAATAAATTGTACAAACCGAACTGTATGTGTTTCACCTCTATGAAATGATGTACAGGGTTATGGAACTAGGTCCAGTATTATTTCTTTAATGGTGCTTAGTGGCTAGTTTGCTCTAGTCACTTTCTTTGTCTTCTTTTCTGAGTCCCCATTTTGTTACCTTCATATTACCAGCAAGCTGTTCAAATTTACATTACTCAGAAAACAACATTTTTCTGGAGAGAGAAAAACTGTTTCGTTCTTATTAACAATTGTACCTAAATTATGTGTTTTTAAAATGCTTTTTTCAACGTTTGAAATTTAAATTTCGACAAAATATTTCTTGAGCTCATGCAACCAGCACCAAAGATTAACCCTATCCATATGTCGTGTTTTACTATCGTATCCATACGACGTGGGGAACTCTGTGCCACCACTTTCCAAAGAGGAATTCTACTCGTTAATCCGATCCGTACGCTTTGCATAGCGGTCTGTGAAAATGATTATTTGAGAAGTACGGAAAGTTTCAAAGTAAAATGTAAAGAATACAACCCCGGGGGTACAAAATGACCCCAGGGAGTACAGATACGGTTAAGAAACTGCAATAACAATTTTTTTACAATGTTTGGCTTAGTACATTAGACCAGCTGGACGACAATGTGTTCTTCTCGTAGTGTGTCTGTTATTGTGCTGACTCAGCATTAAATAAAGAGCAATATCTGTTTTGTGTACTGCAATAAATGTGCTAAAACATAATATCTTTGGCTTCCAGGATATTCCGTGGCTATGTGGCGCGAAGCGTGTATAAAAATTTGCTTAGTGAGGAGAGACAGAAAAACGAAGATGAAAGGAAAGCAGCCGTTAAGATACAAAGGTATGGTTTGCTTGCGATGTTTTGCTTTGCTCAGAATTTTCTTTAATTTATTTCTTTTCCCTTTTCTTTTTTTTTTGTTTTG